AATCACACAGGCGGCTAATGCTGCTCTATAAAATCACAACTCCTTTCTCTCCTTTATGACTCAAGAGTTGCGCCGTTGCATCATTAGCACCAGTATAAACCAATTCAGGCTCTCTCTCTCTCACACACACACACACTCAAACACTCACACTCACACACTCACACTCACACACTCTCACACACACACACACACACACACACACACACACACACACACACACACACACACACACACACACACGATCAAGTCTGGAAATATTATCTCTGTGCATTAGGCTCTTCACAACACGTCTCCGCGTCCTCGTCTCCTGACTATTTTTGGTCGTCTCTTGTGGCGTTTTCACACTCGTTTCGTTTGACCCAGTAGACACGTTCTCATGTTTTGACAGGGGTGTATGAGGCTAGTTTCTAGGGGACACTTTGATTAATGAGGTGGACTCAAAGCTGTTGGCTTTGATTTTGCAAAGGACCAAAAGCTGGATTGCTCACCACAGAGAGAAAGAGAGAGAGAGTTACTCTGAATCACTTACTTTAAACTATATTAGCTAATCAAGAATAAGTGTTTCCCAGTACCAGGTTGCGGCTGGAAGGGCATCTGCTGTGTAAAACATATGCTGGACTAGTTGGTGGTTCATTACGCTGTGGCGACTCCTGATAAATCAGTGACTATGTCGAAGGAAAATGAATAAATACTCTATTTATACCTTTTATTTTTATCTATTCCATGTTAACAGTGTCCAGAAGCAGCGTCGACTTCTCTGGACTCAGAGGCATCTGGAATGGATCATCACAAAATGGAAAAATTTTTATACATTTTTGTGCATATCCTATTATTATTTTTATTATATTATTATTAATGTATTTACTAACATAAATTATTTATAAACAATACATTATTTAATACATTATCAGAATCCAAATTTATGGTTGTTAAGAATAATGCACTGTGTGTTAACAAAAACTAACAATGACAACTTTATTCATGTTAGTAAATTCATTAACGTTACCTATTACAACTTTATTTTAATATGTCACCACAACAATAATAATAATAATAATAATAATAATAATAATAATAATAATAATAACAATAATAATAATAATAATAATATTAATAAAAATTGTAATAATAATTATTATTAATAACAGTAATAATAATAATAATAATAATAATAATAATAATATGATAACAATTAAATTATTATTATTATTAT